TCTAAGTGAGGTTCTCAATGTCTGATTTTTTACGGTTAAGTGAGTTTCAGAGATTGTTTTGTTTTTTGTGCTTTACACAAGTACAGTTAATGAAAGGCAACAGTTATATCACAAGTATACCTCTTTTGGAGGAAATTACTCTTTCTACCTTTTAGGGACCCTTTGTTTGTGGTTGTTTATTTTCATTTGGACCAGTGTATTAGGCCATTCTCATGCTGCTATGAAGAAATACCCGAGACTGGGTAATTTATATATATAAAAAAAAGAGGTTTAAATGAGAATACATGGACACAGGGAGGGGAACACCACACATTGGGGCTTGTCAGGGGAGGGTGGAGGTCAGGGGAGAGCAACAGGAAAAATACCTAATGCATTGTAGGTTTAATACCTAGGTGATTGGTCGATATGTGCAGCAAACCACTATGGCACACGTTTACATATGTAACAAACCTGCACATCCTGCACATGTACCCTGGAACTTAAAATAATTTTTTAAAAAAGAAAAGAGGTTTAATTAACTCACAGTTCTGCATGGCTGGGGAGGCCTCAGGAAACTTACAATCATGGCGGAAGGCACCTCTTCACAGGGCAGCAGGGGAGAGAATGAGAGCCAGCAGGAGAAATGCCAGATGCTTATAAAACCATCAGATCTCATGAGAACTCACTCACTGTCACAAGAACAGCATGGGTGGGGGAACCGCCCCCATAATTCAATTACCTCCCACCAGGTCCTTCCCATGACATGTGAGGATTATGTCAACTACAATTCAAGATGAGATTTGGGTGGGGACATAGCTATACCATATCAACCAGATTGGTATAAACCAGCCAGCACATGGACAAATGGGCTCTAACATATCACTCTGTCCTAGTGTTCTAATGTAAAATTTCATCCATGCATTGTAAGAGGGGGAATAGCAACCATTGCATATGAAGCTTATATTCAAGAATAGTAACTGCTTAGACATTTTTTGAAAATTTGAAATAACAATAATGATGCATGGAGAGTGCTTCACAGTTTGTTGTGCAAATCTTGCATCAAAATATATAGAAACAGCTAGAGGTTCCAAAGTCTGTCTTGTCCATCTTTCACCAAAGTTCAACCTCTTCTGCTGAATATCTTTGGTTCCCCTAATGCCTCTATAGTCTGGGAGTGGGAATGAGGAGTGGAAGTTAGTCCTGTCTCATGCTGTCCTATCCCATACTTTGTCTACTGCAGAGACCTCTGGAGTACTAACAGGCTGTGGGCCCAGAAGCACGTAAAGGGAGCGTTTAACAGGAAGTTTGTGTGGAAAATTCTTCAGGATGGGCTGCCCACTCAACAGGTTATTAAGCAGAGGGGCTCCCATCAAAGTGTGCAGGGCCGTTTGCATAGTACTGAAAAAACATTTAAAGCTCTGCATTGAGCTTTTGAAAGGTTACTACAAGAATCATCATGAATTTCGTACCCACAGTTGATATAAGGAGAAAACGGGTGGTATTTTTGCTAATCCTAAAGGAAACTGAAAAGTTTTAATATGGATTGAACTAATTATAACAACGGCAGTGAAGTCTTAAATATTACACTAGTAAATTTCTTATAATAAATATATAGTGAGTAGATGCTATTTCCTCTGACAACAGTGAACAGCTGTTCTATTACTCAGGTTAAAGGCTCTGTAAAAGTCACACATCAGAGTTAAAGGAAAATCTCTCAGGCAGCACCTTTTCTACACATTATTCAGTTTTATAGTAACAGGTGTTTATGTTTGTAGACTCTTCTAGGTCTTTGTTATAAATCCCACACAACATTGTTAATTTTTTTGTTTAAATAGTCAATTATCTTTTTTAAAGATGTAGATAATAAATAAATAAAATAGTCAATGCTTACCCACATGATTTTTTTCTTTCAGTACCCTAAAGATGTTACTCAGCTGTCTTCTTACTTGAATTATTTCCAAGGAGAAATCTGCCATCCTTATCTTTTTTAACTCTATATTTAATGTTCCTTTTCTCTGGTTGATTTTAAGGATTTTTATAAAAAGTCATTGGCTTTGGGTAATTTTTCTTTCTTTTGTTTTTGTTTTTTGTTTGTTTGTGTTTTTGAGACAGAGACTTGCTCTGTCACCCAGGCTGGAGTGGAGTGACACGATCTTGGCTTACTGCAACCTCCGCCTCCTGGGTTCAAGTGATTCTCTTGCCTCAGCCTCCCAAGTAGCTGGGATTACAGGCATGCACCACCATGCCAGCTAATTTTTGTATTTTTAGTAGAGACGGGGTTTCACCATGTTGGTCAGGCTGACCTTGAACTCCTGACCTCAGGTCATCTGCCTGCCTCGGCCACCCGAAGTGCTGAGATTACAAGAGTGAGCCACTGCGCCTGGCTAGTAATTTGATTTTTATGTGCTTTAGTGTAGTTTTCTTCATGTTTCTGGTGCTTGGAGTTAGTTGGACTTTGTGAAACAAACTTTTCTTTGAAATATTACTAATCTTTTCTTCTGCAATCTCTAATCTGCTACATATATCCATTATAAATTTTACTGGAGACTTTGTTGTTTTCATCTCTAGAAGTTCAATTTGGTTTTTTTTTTTAATATCTTGCATATCTCCACTTAACATAGGTCATCTTTCTCTAGCTTCTTGAACATATGGGATATAGTTTTAATAAATGTTTTAATGCTCTTTCTCAATTGATAATTCTAAGATCTGCATTAGTAATAGGGTGGTTTCAATTGATTGATTTTTTCTCCTCATAATGGATCATATGTTCCAGCTTCTTTGCACACTTGATATTTTTTAATATATGCCAGACATTTGGATTTTACCATATAGGTAAAATATGTTAGACCGTATAGGTGGTAGATAGTACTATATTCCCATAAATATTCTTTTACTTATATCTTGGACACAATTAAGTTACTTGGAAACAGTTTAATTCTTTCAGGTCTTGCTTTTAAGGCTCGTTGGGTGGGACCAGAGCAGTGGTCATTCTAAGGCTAATTATTTCTTACTCCTGAGGCAAAACACTTCTGAGTATTCTACCCCTCAATGTCCTGTGAAATAGAAGGTTTTGCATCTGGCTGGTGGGCGCATTCCCTATTCCAGGCTCTGGATGAGTACTGGGCAGTGTTTCCCCTGATCCTTTCTGATGGTTCTCTTCCCAGCTTTTGGTGGTTTTTCACATGCATGAGCTCATCAGTACTCAGCTGAATACTCAAGGGAGACTCTCTTAGAGTTCTCTCTGTGTGCAGCTCCTTCTTCTCCTCTATGTGCCATTTGAACTCTAGCTGGCTCAGTCTTTTTGGACTCCTAGCTCTGTTTCCTCAGCTTCATGTGTCTGCCAGGCTCTGCCTGGGTTCCCCCTTCTCATGCCAAGACCTGTAAACTCTCTCAAAGCACTAAGCTGGGTAACTATAGGGTTTACATCACATCACTTATTCCTGTCTCTCAAGGACTGCTGTCTATAACTGTCTGAGGTCCACTGTCTTGAAAACCATTTTTTTTTAAACATATCTTGTCTAGTTTTTCAGTTGGTTCGGGTAGGAGGAAAAATCTAGTCCCTATTACTACAGCTTTCCAGAAGCAGAAGTCTCATTTAGATCTATGACTTGCAAATATTTTCTATTTTTTTACCCTTAACTATGTAACAAGAGGCAATGGCGAGGCCAAAGATAAGCATTCTCAAAATTTTGCTCAAAGTTTCTCAATCTCTCTAGGATTGAGCTATTTTAAAATGTATGCCCTCTGATTTTTAGCTTTTAGTTAGGTTTGAGGCTGAATTAAAGAATATGGAGTTTATAATGTCTAATTTTACAAAATTGAGCTGTTACTTTCTCTTGACTTTGGCCTCAGGCTGAGCTAGCTGGGGTTTGGGCTGGGTCGGCCACCTGTGGGACTGTCTCCACTTGCTGTCTTTGCTCAGACACATGGACCGTTAAGGATCTTGGGGATTGTTGCCCAAAGGGAGAAGAATGATGCTGCTCTTGTGAGTGGAACTGTCCTTCAAGGTGAGGTCCAGCAGAGATCTAAGCAGAGGCTAGGATCATTTCCCTCCCTTGAACTCTTCTTCAGCAGTTGTTCAAGCAAAGGCAAATCCCCTATTTATCACTTAGGTACCAAATACTCAAGCATTATATCAAAGGACAATGAACTGTTTCCTTTTAATTCACTTCCCAAACACATAACCAATCTTCTCTCAGGACAGACAAGGTTCCTCCCTCGGCTCCTTGTATTCTGAGGAGGCCACCTTGCAACCCCCCTCCTCCTGAGAGACTGCCTATTAGAGCCTATACTGTGTTATAACTGAAAGCATTTCTCATTAAAGAAGAGAAAAAAAAATTCCATAATTTAATCTTTAGCATGGAGACACTCTGGTAGCCAACTATTTCCCCCACAATATATAACTTAATATTTACATAAGAATCTACAGATAGATTTAACAGTTCATGGATGCTCCTGTTTACAAAGTCATAACCTGCCCACATGTGACTTTGCCCTTTCTCTGCATGTCCCAGCCTCTCCTGGTGACAAGAGCAGTGATCTAAAACATGAGCACAAACTTGCAGTCATAGAAATAGTACAGCTGCAGCTAGCAAAGGGTCCTTATCCAAATTTTAGTAAAAAGAACAAGAATATATATATACACACACACAAATATATAAAATGTGGTCTTTTATTATTTTATTAGTGTGGCATTTAAGGCATATGTGTTTCCTTCTGGATTTTCTTTCCCTTAGTAAAGATTCATCTCACAACCATATTGTTCTTTGGTTTTGAGAGACATTAGTTTCTTTTCCTTCATTTCATGTTTTATTCTTTGTATCAGGAAACCAGTGATGCAATTTTATGTGAGCTCTCTGACAATTGAGAAAAAAAACATCCTTGGAATTCCCTCATTTGTTTTTTCTTCCTCACAGTGGGCATTTCTGCAGGATCCATGGTGTGTCAGGCACCTAGAGGGGTTGATCCCAGTCCTGCTGGCCGCATGTTTTCCCTTTAATAACCTAAAGACCTTTTTCCTTCTGCAGGTGCCCGGGTGGACAGAGCAAATAGCTGCCAGTCTGACAGCAGTGGGTTCCTGGAGGAGCCGCTGGAACCGCTGCCCCTCCAGGTAGGAGGGTTTGGAACAGGGCCATGTTGCTCATCCCTCACATCCCACTTCAGCCCTATCAACCAGGCTGCCACCCAAACCTCACTCACAGCTAACTCAGAAAGAGGGGTGTTTTAAATCAAGCCACAGCTGGAAAGCTTGAGAAGGCACAAACCACCTGCACCCAAGGGGCAGGGGAAGATGGAGTCATATTAGACAAGGTGCCAGAAAGTGTGGCCTTCCTTTCCTTTTGATTTTTGTAAGCAAGGAAGCTGAGCCCCCTAGAGAGGAGGACCTTGGTAAAGTGGTAAACAGATGCAAAACCTAATGTTGCAACCCTTATCTCTTGACTCCTAAGTCAATGGCAATGACAAGAAGAAAATCTCGCCTTAAACCTGTTGCCTCCTCCACTTCCTGACCTGTTTCCCTTTGTCCTGGTTTCCTCTACAGATGCCTTCCTTGCCAAGCAGCCAGAGTCCTGCTGAGAATGGTGGTAGAAAACCAAGAGATCAGAGTCACAGCGTAGGATCATCCCAGGACTGTCAACTACAGTCAGATGGGCCAGATTCCAAGAGTAGGGCGAGCGCATCTTTTTCAAGCCAAGACACGAGTGCCTTGGAAGAAAAGGCCTCAGCATCTGTGGTGGAGGAAGAGTTTCTGCTTGAGGCCACGGAGGAGCCACCAGAGCTGTATATCCCAGACATGGCCTGTGCCAAGACCACCATGAGGGGAGAACACCCAAGGAAAGACAGCCATCTGCGGCAGCTTCTGCCAATGTCCCACAATGAATATGAGGTTACCGGATCCACAGCCACTTCCAAATATGATCATCCTCTGGGGTTTATGATAACCCACATCACAGAAATGCAGGATAGTTTTCTGAGGCCTGAGGGGGCTGGCGAAGTGCAAAGCCACCACTATGAGTCTCAAAGATCACCTGGAAATGATCATACTCAAGACAAGTTCCTTCATGTTGACTCTGAGGCCCCAAGAGAAGAGGAAAGCAGTGGACTCTGTCCTGACACCAACCACAGCTTACTGGCATCAGAAAGCTCATCACAGTGTGTCCCCAAGCACAATGAAATCATACCTTATGCAACTGACCTTGCTCAAACATCTGAAAAGCCCATTCTCCACCTCCATAAACTCCCTGGAGATCCTGCCCAGGTGAAGTCAAGGTCTTGTACTTTGGGTCAGATACTACCTAGGCCAGAAGCTGAGATGGAAAACCTTCCTCTAAATACTGGCAACTCCAGGTCTGTAATGACCCAGATGTCCTCCAACCTGGTGTCGGCTGCTCAGGGTGCTGTGTCCTTGGGGACTGGTCCCAGAGGAACATCTTTAGAATGCACTATATGTGATCCTGTTACCACAACAGAACCAAGACTAGGGACAGAAGCAAGACAGTACAATGATGCTTCCATTCAGACTTTTGTATGTGAGCCCAGGCCGTGGCATTTCTGTTCAGTTCCAAGCAACAAGGCCTTGACACATGGGCCCCAGCCCCTCACCAAATCCGTCTCTCTAGACTCAGGCTTCCCTAGTATCTGCCCATTGGGCACCTGCCATGCTATACCCGCCCACTGCTGCATCTGCTGTCATCACCACTCCCACTGCCACTGGGAGAGGCAAAGCCCTGGCCTTGAACCCTCAGTCTGTAGGCACTCCCTCTGCTCACTCACTGGTCACCGGGAAGCCCAGTTCATGACGACTTTGAAAGCCCTTCAGGACACTACAGTGAGGGAGCTATGTTCCGTAAGTGTTCACACTTGCAAAGATGGAGAGGCAAATGCACCCATGATAAACACCTCAGGGATAATGTTCATACTTCCTTGCTGAATGCAAGATCTCAGGGCAAACGTTTCTATTTTAAATCATGAATAACATTTGTAGAGCGCTTTATTGTTTATGATACAGTATCACACATTTCTTCTTGATACTTCCAATCAATCATCTTTAGAAATAAGCAAAGCAAATTTTATTATTAATCTTCATTTTACAGGCGGGAAAACTGAGGAGTAGAACCATACATTCATATGTCTAAGGTTATAAGCATTAATACATCTGTAACTCATCTCCAGTTCTAGCTGAGAAGTTCTGTGTCTTAAATTTGTTTACCTGTATAATCTTGCACAAGCTATTTAATATTTTTGTAAAATATTTTGTAAAAATATTTTTGTAAAACTGACACAGGATTGTTTTAGGATTAAATAAGATGAACCCTGTAAACCACTCAGCTCAGCATGTGGCACATGGAAAGCTCTAGGTAATGTTAATTGTGTGGGTATGTTACTCTTATAATCAATTTTTGTGACTGTTTTGCATTGTTCAGGTCTTGAACTTAGAGCTTCTCATGTCAAATAGAGAGGCTTTTGGTCACCTTTGCTGAATCTATTGAAAGGTGGACCCTACGGTTACTGAGGACTAAATGGCTCCAGCCTTCTCTAGCCCTTGATTCATCAGTAAGTGTTTAATGAGCCCTTCCAGTTTCTCCTTTTTAGCAAGTTTTCAAGGCAAGAGATGATCTAGGCTTTCAAGGCCAGCCATTGATTAAAAAATTAAGACTATTGCGCATAAAACCACTTGTATAGTGAGTTGAAAAGGTGAGGGGGCTCGCACAGAGAACGTAGGTAGAGCAGGGTGAAGTGGAACCATGATTTACTGAACACCTACTGTTTGGTGCCTGCAGTTACCTTTCCATTCTCTTAATTCCACAAATATTCAGTGAGTGCCTATGCTGACCATTTTCCAATGTCATTTAATCTTCATTTTAATCCATTCCATAAATATTTGTTGGGCTCCTAATATATGCCAGGTCCTTCTTCTTTTACAGACAAGAAAACTAGAACTGAGAGAGTTTAAATAATTATCTCAATGCCTCCTAATGACTAAGTGGGAAGTCCAAATTCAAATTCAATTTGAGTAACAGTAAATTGCTTGACGCTACAGTCCAAGCAAAGAAGTGACTTTAAAATATCTAAATTTATATAAGTGTAAAATTAACATTACAAAGTGATTATTTGAAAGATAAAACAAATTACTACTTGGTCTTTCAACGTATGAAAATTGCCTTACATAAATGTGATATAAAGAAAGTGATTACAGGAAAGTTTAAATAATTTATCAGATCATTTTTAATTGCAAGACTCCCAGGCATTTGGAATATTTTTATATGAACCTAATATTAGTCAGAGTTGAACAGGTAAGAGAAAGCTTCATTTAGGCATAGTGCTCAGTACTAGGTATATTCTCCAAAAGTTCAGTGGAAGAAAAGAACAAAACCTAATGTATGCTGGGTCCTTCTTGAGTATCAAAAGACCTTGGTTCAAGTCCTGGATAACAGTAGGGTCGTCATCACCATAACTATCACCACCACCACCCACCACCCACCACCACCATCATCATTATTATCGTCATTATTTACATCATTTGTTGAGGGGATTTTAAATGCCCAAAGTAAGTGGTTTTCAACTGGGGATAATTTCCCACCCCTGAACTCCCAGATGACATTTCACGATGTTTTGAAACATTTTTAGTTGCCACAATGGGAGGCGGATGGTTGCTACTGGCAACGAGCGGGTAGAGGCCAGGAATGCTGAAAAACATCCTAAAATACACAGAACAGCCACCACAACAATGAATTCTTTGGCCCAAAATGTCAATAGTGTCAAGGCTGCAAAACTCAGCTCTAAGAGAATAAACATTTACTCGATCACATAGTTTGTAAGGGAAAAATGTTAGGGATGAAAGATAGCTGGAGAAGGTGACATTTTGAGAGGCCGTATGGGGAAAAATATTAAATCCTAGAATTAGGTACTCCAGTTTCCACAAAGAAAGACTAGTTGTTGGTCTAACATAGGAATGCATATCCTGAAGAAAGATTATTTTTCTAATTTACATTTAAGACAAGCATTACAAAGATTTTAAGTCATATTTAGTTTTATATTTTGTTAAAAATAACAAAATTGTGTTCAAAACTCCAGAAGAAATGGTTCTTCTAGACATACCCAATTTCATTCTTTTAGTGTAAATGCTATAGATGTTTATTCCACAATAAGATACTATCTAAATTTTGTTTACATCACCACTCTTAAAAACAATATAAATAATTTATTGATTGTGTTCAGAAGACAAATAACAAACATATATTCATAGACTAAGAAGTGAGACATCTATTGCATCAAATTGTCTTTGGGATGTACTATCACTTAATTTATTCCTTAGTATTATAATTAGGTATCTATGGCAACAGCTGTATCTTGAACAATAAAAGCTATATTTTGAAAAAAGAAAAATGGCTAACACAGCCTCCCATGACACAAACTGAAAACACGACCTACCTAATGAGGTTCTTTCATATAGCTGGGGTGCCTGGGACAAATCAGTGCAAATAAAAGAGGTACCAGGGTTGAGAGTGGCTTAAAAGTGGTTCTGACTATAGGTGCCAGAGGGTGTGTAATCTATCAGGCAAACCACAGCATCCAGAGACCATGACTGGTCAGTAGCACAGCCCAGTAAGACCATTAGTGTAAAAGATTTGAGAGTCTGTGAGGTATTGGGGGTGTCCTGATGAATTTGCAGAAGCATGGTTCTGGGGATTGAAAGTACGAGTGGGCATCTAGCACCTGGGAGCAGATTCGCAGGTAGAAGGATTGCAGCTTCTCAGAGGAAGGTAGGCTGGAAAGAGTAAGAGGTGGCCCTGGGGAAACAGGCACAGGAAGCTACAGCCAGATTCGTCATGGTAAGGACATTATTTAGAATAGGAGCAGAAGATTAAACTTGGGCCAGCTCCAGGGTGACCAAGTGTGGACCCAGCTCTTCTTATTCCTCCTGCCTAGTGTCAAAAGAGGGCTTTGGGTGTAAGTAGCCCCAGCTGTGTGGAGAGATTTGGCAGCTGGAAATAGATGTTCCTCCTGATTTGACACTTTGGCATATCAACACTTCTGCAGAAAACAGGGAGGTTTTGTGGCCCATTATGCTCAGTAACTATCCTCAGACGTGGGTAGATTTTAAACAAGTAGGAGTTTGAATGGGTGTGAGGGCCACCATCCAAAGGCTTCTAATGCCTTGTCTCCTATTGCGTTCACCTTCTTTCCTCTTAGAATTTGCAATTATACAGAAAAAGGTACTTTTATATCCAGTTGATTTGGCATCATACACCTGCTGAAATGGATGCTATATAAGGTTTTACCAGATGACAATGAATTTCCCTTTATTTAAATCCAAAGAAACAGAAAAATACACTCAAAGGAAACAATTCAAACATACATGCGTATACGTGTGCATATTTATACTTCTATGCAGGCATCCATATGTGCACAGACACATGTGCTGGAAAGCAAGTAGAAATAGGGGATTGCATTCCTCCATAAGAGGAGACCGCTTAAAGACATTTAAAGCACAAAGAGAACAAGATATTGCATGCAGCAGCATCTACTATGTGTGAGCCTGGGTTTGTAAGGCCTGAAAAATGTTCCAAAGAAAATTGGCTTTAAATTAGATGCCAAGTGCTAGACATGGCTAGAAAATTTATTTATGAAAATATTAACAGGAAATAGCTCTTGAACCAAGTGAAGGTTATAAGCAGAGATGGACATCTCTTAGAAGACAATGGGAGGCCGGGCATGTTGGCTCACACCTGTAATCCCAACACTTTGGGGGACTGAGGTGGGTGGATCACCCGAGGTTAGGACTTCAAGAACAGCCTAGTCAACATGGCAAACCCCATCTCCATTAAAAATACAAAAAAAAAAAAAAAAATAGCTGGGTGATGGTGTGTGCCTATAATCCCAGCTACTCAGAAGGCTGAGGCAAGAGAATTACTTGAACCCATGAGGCAGAGGCTGCAGTGAGGCAAGATCATGCCACTGTACTCCAGCCTGGGCAACAGAGTGAGTCTCCTTCTCAAAAAAAAAAAAAAAGGATGAAGAAGAAGACAATGGGAGTTCTGAGCAGATGTTGAAACTAAGAGCAATTTTACGTAAAGGACTTGAAGACTCAAAAACATCCTTATCTTACCCCCCTAATATAGCAATAGCAATATATAACACTGTAGAGAAACATTTGACTAATTGATAAATGCCATTTTTCTGGCCTCTTTGGGTTTTCTAGGGTAATGATTTGTTGATGTTGATATAATTAAATTTTCACATATAAGTGAGTTCTTTGCAATAATTTGTTAATTTAAAAAAATGTTTTTTTGGTATAACTAAATTGTTATATATAGGTAAATTCTTCAGGATAATTTGTTAATTTTAAAAAGTGTTAATTCAAAAAAAATTTCAGAAAATAAAATGAGATCTATCAGAAATAAGATTTCTGAATTTTAGAAGTACTTCCATATGTTTATGATTTAGTTTTAGAGAAAAATAAAGGTATACAAATAAGGAAAAGTAATATGAGCATATTGGAAGTGAAAATTCATTGTCTTTTGGTGATGGTGCTCTTACCATTGAAGTTAAAGTTTGTTTCAATGGGTTTGGGTCAGTAGAGCAGAACTTGCATTTGGCATTTAGGTTATAATCAAGCCTTTATATTGTAAGAAAAAGAAAAAAGAAGAAGAAGAGGGAGGAGGAGGAAGAGGAGGAGGAGGAGGAGGGGGAGGAAACATTCAAAACATTCTGTTTTTGAGGAGTTTTATTTATTTATTTTTCTTACCTATAGTTTTCTTTATTATGAAATCATTTCTATACTTATTCTAGGGCTAAAATTTTTTTTTGATATTTCCAAATGACCAGAAGATGGCACCGTTTCAGAATCTTCTGCATCCCTCCCTTCTCAGAGAACAAACACTCCATCAGTTATTCCCAAACCCAAGCACCCCAATCTTATGCCTTTCAATCACAAAAGGCTGCCCCAAAATAACTAGATGAGCATAAAATTCAGTGTTTATGATGTTCAGCCTATTTGAGCACCACACTTCCATGACCCTGGCGTCACTGTCCCTAGAACTTTGAAGTGAATTTGAGCCAGTTGGGAAGTCTTGGTTATCTGATAGGAAACTACTAGAACCACTCAAACAGCCTGCCACTAAGGGACAAGCAACTTATCCTTGTGTTCAACTATACTGTGGTCCCTGCTGTGACTCAGATCTTAGAAGAAAAGAAATGAACCAAGAGACTTGGGTTTGAAATCTAAGTGCTACTTTTTGACCACAGACAAGTTAACTAGCCATTCTATGTCAGAACATGTATCTATAACAGATGCCCTTCGTGGGCTCCAAGATCTTTTCTGGTCTTAAGAGCCATAATCTAGCATTCCTGCCAACATCAGTATCGCTTCAGAGATCCCCTAACTGGTTCAAATTCACTCACATTGATGCAAGAGTAATTGGGGAGCTTTACTATGCAAAATATGTTATTCAGTATAAAATTAGAGGATAGAATCAAAACCAAACTCCCAAAACAAAATATGGAGAGTTTTCAATATAAAAACATTACTCTTAGGAAAGTATTTTCATTATGACAATTCTGGTAAAAATAGCCATCAGGCTGCCAGGATGTTGGCCATGTGGTTTAGAGAGGAAAGGTAAGAAATCTGGGACTTCCTAGAAACAGGGCTAGAGGAGTCCACCTAGCTGTAAGGTTGGTCTCCATGGAAGGAGGAAGAAGAGAAGGTTAAAAAGAGCCAGGCTGCAAAATCAGTTTCCTTTAAAGAACATCACAGAAGCCCCACAGCATGTTCTCTGTTCCCATCTCATTGGCCATTGTCTCTGCAAGGAATGCTGGGAAATATATATTTTTTTAGCTAGACACATGGCTGCCTCTAAAGTATTCTTGTTAACAAGAATAAAGGGAAAGATTGTGAATAGTCAACTAGCAGCCTCTGCTGAGCTGATTTTGAGAAGGGGTCCAAGCCTGTGGGTCGGACAGAGATGGCTTTAGGGCCCAACAAGCATTAATATTACCCAAATTCAGATGGTTAGTGGCCCTGGAGTTCTGGGTCATGGATTTCAAAGCATGACCCAACCCAGGATGCAAAACAAAGGGGATAGCTGGTAAGAACTCAGCAAGTCATCAGAGTGCCAGCAAATGGACTGGGCTTGGAGGTGCCAAAGGTAAATAGCTTTAGTTAAAGCCATGAAAACAGATTGTGTTCAGTAACTACTGACAGTAGGGGAAAGAGCTGAGCTCCACTTCAATTTGTGCAGAGGTGATTTGGGTATTCTAAAGAGAGAATAAGGGAGGGTGGAGAGCAGGGACTCAGTAGAGCCAGAAAAGTGAAAAATCACAAAGAATTGGTCCATGTCAATGCCATTAGACCAGCTGTGTTTGTGAGCCAGCAGTAACTGAAGTTAGGATTCTGCCCTCCAAGAGACTGGGGACAGAGGCCCAAACCTTCCAGATGATTACATTTCAAAGGAATGGCTCTCAGGTCCTTGAGAGAGATGCTTGTGAGTTGTAAGAAATACATATTTACAATTATAATCAACTTTTAAAAATCCTCTCAGAAAGGGCCTATGTCAGGTGTTGGCAAAAGCAAACAGTAAATTTTCCTGGCAGCCTTCAGATTTCTCAGGCAGGGTTTTTCATGGGGAATGGGGAGGCTGAGGTCATCCCAGGGACACAGCCCTGGTCTGCTGGAGCCAGACTGGAGGGTGGTCAAGTCTGTTAGTGGAGAGTACGGAAGTTCTCAGGGGCTCCAGGAATATATTTAAATTAGAAAACCAAGGCAAAGGCACAGCCTAAGAGAGAAAGTCAGATTTAAAGGATGACTATGTCGGCAGCAATGGGAAGGATTAAAAGGGTAGACGGAGTTCAATTCTAGACTCCAACTCCTGGAGATGACAGGATGCCCAACCTTTGCCTGCCTTCCTCAGGGTGGGCTTGTTCGGTGGATGAAGCTGATCCTGCAGATTCCAACATCCAGGACTGTGACTAAGCAGGACTAAGACTAATAAAAATTATTCTAAGCAGATTTTCTTTAATCAAACACATACCAGCTGAACAGATGTGTTCAATGTTATTGATACTCAGAGTGAGGCAGTAGCCAGCACCAAAGTTAAACAAGATTAAACAGATTCAGCTTCTCACAAACCCTTATGCTGGCCCTTCCCCTCCTCTCTTCTACCTACATCCTTGCATCCCTACATCACCTAGGCCTCCAGAATGCCTTCCAGCCTCTGGGACATAACGATTGTCACCCAAAGGCCACCCAACAACAGCTGCCCTTCTGTCCCAGATGAGCACTGTCACTAGTTGTTTTGTGAACCCAAATATTGGGCTTTTCCTATTCCCATCCCCTTAAATTAGCAGTAGGGCCTGTTTGCAAAAAAAGTGAGCTCAAATGGGAAGACAGGCTCCACCATGGTGAGCTCTTGCAGAAGATCGGAAAAGACTTTCTTTTCAGTTCTTTCTCATTGTTCTCAGTGCACAGTCCATGAGATGGAAGCCGTGAAGACGATATGCCAGAGTTTCCGGGAGTATTTAGAGGAAATTGAACAGCACCTTATGGGACAGCAGGCCCTCTTTTCCAGGGACATGTCAGAGGAGGAAAGGTAATTACCTAAGGGAGCCATAAAAGTAAGTACCAGCCCACACACCTGGAGCAAGGAAGGTAATCAGGGCAGGACAGATGAGCACCCTGGAGCAGAGCTAATGAGAAAGCGGCCAGATTTTCCTTTGCTTTCATGGTCTTGTTCTTGCTTTCTCTGTGGGAGTCTGTGAGAGCCATTTGCTAGATAGCAATACTTATTCCTTAAGTCAAGGGCTATTGAGAAGGTCAAAAGGCAGGCAGTCAGGGGCATTGCCAGCAGGATGTCTTTAATCAATGGGATGGGGCTCGTGCAAATGCAAATGTGAGGAGTTAGAAGAGTTTCAAAAATCTGCATTATTTTCACATAGATTGAAAACACGTCCCAAAAGTAGATTCGTCATTCATTGCCTGGGGCTGGGGATGGAAATCGGGTTTAACTGTAAAGGGAGGGGCATACAGGTTCTTCCTGGGGAAATAGAAGTGTTTTAAAACTGGATAGTGGTGATGATTACACAATTTGGTAAATTTATTAAAAATTATTAAATTGTGCTCTTAAAACAAGGGAACTATGTTATACTGCAATAGAGTTTATTTTTATTTATTTATTTATTTATTTATTTATTTTTTAAAGAAGACAACCTTAGTAATGTCTGCAACTGACACAAATAAAGATGACATTCTCTTTTAAGAAATTGCAAAGGAAGAACCTATATTATGAGGAGACAATGGAAGAGTGCACCTGGGAAGGATTGTTAAATTTGGTTGTTTTCTATTATTTACTTGCAGGGAGGAGGCCGAGCAACTGCAAACGTTACGTGAGGCCCTGAGGCAGCAGGTGGCAGAGTTGGAATTTCAGTTAGGAGACCGGGCTCAGCAAATCAGAGAAGGGATTTTACAGGTACGGGTGATGGGGTGTGGAGTTTGACTGTGTCCAGCCTACCACAGGAGAGGTGCATTAAATGAGAAACCCAATTGTGCAATCATTTCAGAATCTAGGTTTACATGCCAACGCCTTCATTTTAAGTATACAGAGAAGTACTTTGGTTTGCTCAAGGGTCCACAGCCAGCTGATGGTGATTCTGCATCAGAATTCAGTTCACCTGTCATGCCAATCTTCCCCCTGCCCTGTGCATCATACAGAAGTCTTATTAGCCCATTTTCCAAATAAGAATAAGAATCACAGGCACAGTGAAGCTCATCTTTGGAGCCAATATAAGCTAAATCACTATCAGAATCTGCTTCTGGCTCGAAGAGCCCATTCTAGAGAACTGACCACCTCATAATGCCTAGCTCGCAAGTTTAAGTAAGCTGTTTGGTGCCAATGAGATGTGCTGTTTATTCTTTTCCCTCTTGTTTTCCTTTTAGCAGCTGGAGGTTCTCACAGCAGAGCCACCTGAACACTACTCAAATCTGCATCGATATAACTGGATAGAAGAAAGCAATGGCCAGACTTCATCTTCTAAAATCCACCCAGGCATGGCCCCAAGGACTGTCTTTCCTCCCAGTGATGGCCAGCAGGCTCCCTGTTCAGGTGGGACCCAGTTGGCTGCCTTCACTCCACCCACCTTGGAGAACAGCACCAGGATGTCTCCTTCATCATCAGCTTGTGCAAAGTTAGGTCCAACCCCTTTGTCAAATTGTCCTGTTGGAGAAAAGGATGCAGATGTCTTCCTCTAGATCAGAGCAGGTTTGATAACCTTCATACAAAATGTAAAGGTCCAGAATAGATGTAGCAAGGAAATTTCAATTTTCCCCAAGGAGAAAGGTCTGCCAACCCATTGTCAGCTATAGCTTTCATAGTCTACCCTATGGTTAAACCCAAGAGGAGTTTAGAATACTTTAATATTCATTCAATATAGAATAACTGATCACCTAGTCTGTCACTGGCACAGAGTATGCAGCAGTGACTAAATAGTATACGGTCTCTGCCCTGCTGGAACTTACAGTGTGGTGGAGGAGATAGAATTGCAAACAAAAAGTATCTGAGATAGAACTTAGTCAACGTAGAAGTTTATTTTGCCAAGGTTAAGAATATACACCCAGAAGACAGGTCTGTGTCTTTCTCCAAAGATGATTTTGAGGACTTCAGCATTTAGCGGGGAAAGAGCTGCTAATGGGGAAAGAGGAAGACATTTTTAAAAGGTGTGGGTACATAAGAGGCAAACAGTCGCCTTCTTTTGGGTCTGATCAGCTTTTCACTATGCGAGAGGGGGAAGAGGAACAGTCGCTTATGCATTCATCTAGCTCAGTGGATCTGCGATTTTACAGAAGGTAAAATAAACATAGAGCAGAGGAAGCAATTGGATATGCATTTGTCTCGGGGGAGCAGAGGGATGGCTTTGAGTCCTGTTCTTTGTCCTGCACCTGTGAAGAGAAGCTATCAATGTACTTTGTCAGGTTAAAGTTTAACAGAACTGTTTTAGACTAAAGATTTTAGGGCCCACAAGGAGTTTCCCAGTGGGCAAATTGTGAGGGAGGTATGTAGCTTTTAAAAAAATCTTTGTAGCTATCTCATTCAGAAATAAAATGGGAGGCAGGTTGCCTGATGCAGCTCCCAGCTTGACTTTTGCCTTTTACTTCATATTTTGGGGTCCTGAGGTTTATTTTCCTTTCACAGAATATAACATGTACATACATTTATTATTAAAAACTCTGAAGGAAATAACAAGGTTTTATGAAAGAGAACACAGAAGGGAGCCTGATTTAGATTAATGTTCAGACAGTCCTGGTTGAGGAAGTAACAACAGAAGAAGGAAGGAGGATCCAGGCCTCAGAGGTACCAGACTGCCCAAAACCCTCCAGTCAGGCAGCTGGTGGGAGTACCGATGAAGCACCTACTGTGTGCAGACCACTTTTCTGGTGCTGGAGACAGTCATAAATAAGACAGATGGACTTTACTCAGAAAGAGTTGGATGAAGAGTAAGATCGAAAACAAACAAACAAACAAACAAAATCCAACAAGCAAATAATTACAATCCTGAAAAGAGCTTCAGAAGACAGTGTGATAATATTGCAAAGGGAGATGTGGCGTGAAACTGTACTGCATTTGTCAGGGTGCTTGTGGAAGGGGAGGCTTTTTGGGTAAGATCTGAATGGTGAGGAAATGGAAGCCAAGTGCAATTTTGCAAAAGAACATTCAAAGCAGAAGCAATGGAAAGTTAACGGGCCACCAGATGTAGAGACAGCCAGTGCTGCTGAGTGTGGTGGGGCATGGGGATGGAGGGAGGGAAAGACTGAGAGGGGGCCGGGCAGACTCTAGGCCATGGCCAAGTCTTTGCACCTGAATCCTTTTTCCAAGGGTAATAGAAAGCCACTGTAGGTTTTCAGCAGGGTCATCATATAATCTGATTTATGTTTTAAAGTCATGCTGGCTGCTTTATGGAGAAAGCATCCCTGGGGGCCTAAAGCGAGGCAGAGTGCCCAGCTAGGAGGCTGTTGCTGTCATCCCCGAGGTGAGAGGCAAATGTCCTCAAGTTGCTTCTATCCAGCCTTGGAAGTTTGTGAGGCTCCCACCCCAGTGGAAATGCAGGGAATGGCACACAAAGGCCAGAGGCACTGGGTCTCTAAGGAATGGGGAATGGATGCAGAATGGAATAGTCAGGAAAAGTTGCTGGGAAAAGTAATGCCATGAGGGAAGTTTATAATTTGTATGAAAAGATGGTCAAAGGAGAGGTCACTTCCTAGCGAGTAACCTCAGAAACTAATTCTATTGAAACCACCCACTACTGAAAACCATCTCACGTCCTGTTTGCACTCTTCCTCTTCCTTGCTTTTTGGAAAGTGTTTGACTCAGTGGGGCCTTCCTACCCTTGGGACACCACACTGTTTTATCCATGGACTTACATCCTCAGAGTGTGGACATCCCTGTTCTGTCCTGAATTCTCTTTTGTTTCTCCATTCCTCTGTCCTCAGCGTACACACAGACTCTCCAAGCATCTATGAGCCTGATTCCCAGCTCTCTCCAGTATGCCAGACCAGCATTCCCTACTGTCCACACGACATTTTGACGTGGAAGACTTGGCTGTATGTCTCACTCATAGCTAAAGCTGACCTGGTCATTGCCCTGACTCAGTTCATCTTCCTGATCCTCTCCGTAAGTGGCACAGCCTTTCTCCTTGCTGCAGGCTCAGTGCCACAGTGTGCATGGTCTCCTGCCCCTCTACCCTGCCCTGCTCAGTTGGTCAATGACCACACCAGTGCTGAGTGTACTACCAAAAAATACCTCCCAGAAGTCCCCTCAGAACCAATTACCTGGTGACAGGGCAACATAGGTGCCGCCTAACAGCCTCCAGCCACTTTCTCTCCAAACTGCACTGGCCTCTGCCAGATTGGGCTCCCTTAGCCACCAAGTGGGTCATATTTCCCGGACCTACAGTGAATACCCAGAAAGTACTTTTAGAATATCCCAGAGAATGAGAGAGAAATCACAGGATCATACTTCCCAGAGCAGCCTTCCACCAGAAATGAAAGTCCAGGCCCTGGAGTTATTATGCCCCTCTCCTCGCCCTTCACTGCCTCATTCCTTTTTGCCACATCCCCATCTTGGCTCCTATGTCATGGCTCAGCTTCCAGCCAAATTGACTCCTGATGCATTGCGTTTCTGCCTCCAAATTGTTTCCCTTGCTAAACTCCTAAGCTTTTTACTCTTTACCCAGATCTGGCTTTTGACCTCCCCTTCTCCATGTAAACTCCAAGCTCTCATGCAGTTTATCCCTTGCTCCTTCCCTGTAATGTCTACGGAATGAAAAGGAACACCTGGCTCTAGGATGTCCCTCACCTGGCAGCCATCTGCTTTACCAGTCTCATTTCCTGCTCTGCCCTCAGATGAATCTCCAGTTCTATTCCCCCTAAACCACCTCGTGTGTTCCTGCTCCCTCTCCTTTGCTGAAACAAATGAAGTATCTCACCAGTAAGCTCTAGGGCAGACCCCATCTCCTGCACAGGCTTTCCTTGATGATCTGTGGCAGAAGCGATCCTTATTTTTTGAAACTCCTATATCACTTTGCTTTTTTGTTAGGACACTGAAAACCTCCTGTCTTGTGTTACCATTATCCGTGTAGGTCATATCTTCTCCAGTAAACTTAAAGCTACTTGAGGACTGTGTAGCACCCAATACCCTGTGTTTAAGAGAGACTATCTGGATGAAAGTACACACTCCTTTCTTTATCATGTGTGATCTTGGGCACTTGCTCTCTTTACCCTAGTTTCTTCCTCTGTGAAATAGGGAGAAGAAAAACAACATAGAGTTGTTGGACAGAATAAATACAGTGAATCCCGTGCAGTATTTAATCCAATGCCCATCGCATAGTAAGTGCTCAGTGCATGTTGGCTGTTATTACAAGTGCACGTACCAATAACTCAATAAATGCTAACTGTAATTACTGTCTTCCTTCTGTTGAAAAGAACTCTGTTAGTGAAGTACTTTGTGCACAAAGAATATTACCTACTGCTTGATGAATGAATGAGATGAGGATAAATTATCAGTCTCAGGAGACAATGAAGAGAATGAATTGGCTATGGTAGAAGCACGGTTGTATGTTGTAGAAGGAACTGAGTTTAGATTGTAAAAAGGGACTTATTTATGGATGGTTTTGATGTCAGAAAGATGACTTCATATGTGATGGAGGAGGGAAAAGACCATTTATTATCTTCTGATGAAGAGTAGCAAATGGAACAAAGGTCTCCAAACATTTCATGGTATTTCCTGTTTTACTCTCCTAATTCTCCAAAAAAGAGCACAGAAGGGAAATCAAAATGTAGAGAGGCTGCTCTATCCCACCCAGGACCTTTGCTATCTTCAGTGCATGATGAACAATGTTTGCTGGTGCTGCATCCAAATACCACCCCCGATTCTCAGGCCTTCATGCTCAGACTGAATTACACCACTGGCTTTCCTGATTTGTGTAATAAATGTGTGTGTACACACACTATATACATATATGTACACACACACATATATATACATATACACACACACACATATATGCATACACATATAAATATGTATGTGTATATATCTCTATGTGCAGGCACACACATGCACACACACACACAAAACCTACTGGTTCTGTTTCCCTGGGAAACTCTGACTAATACAGTAAGGAAGAGCTAAGATATAGGGAGACTATCCTACAAAAATACATACTGAGTCCTGCAGTTTATTACTAATAAGAAGCAACTGAGCTCTGGGGTTAAATTCAGGATTTGGGGCTTAAATCCAACTCCATTACTTATTATTTGTCTTGGATAAAGTATGTAACTTCCCTAAGCCTCAGTGTCATCATCTGTAATTTAACAGAGTTAATGTATACAGAGCCCTTTACAGCAAGCCTGGAACATGGTTAGTGCTTAGCAAATGGTAGTACTGTGATGGTTAGGATGGTGATGATAGTAACAAGAGTAGTAACAATTTCTTGAATGTCTACCTACAGGCAAGGGACAGGGCTAAGTGCCTTATTTGCATTATCACTTATCTTCACAATAATCCTGAAAAGTGGGAATTAATCTACCCACACATACACTCACACATACATACACGCACACTCATTCAAAAAGACTGTAAGTTGTCTAAGCTCTGGCAACTATTAAGGGATTGAGGTGACTCTCTGATTTCTTGATTTGTTAAATCAGTGGTTTGTCATGGCTCTGCCAAGTTTTGGGGCTTATGTGGTGCCTACTGCTAGGCCCAAGTCAACCAGAGGAGTCCTGCTTCTGTCTGCATTATACATTGAACATTAGCAGAAATTTATTAAAAAAAAAAAAAGATCTCATTGCTATAGAAAAGTTTGAAAAATACTGCACTGTGCTAATTGCATCTGATGCTTGCAGTCAGGTATCAGTTCTGAGTTGCTTTCATACAAGGAGATGAGTTCCGCCACATAGGAATCCTTTTAAACCATCATCCTAGCAACTCTTAGCTTACTACTACTTGCCCACTGCCAAGAATAATGGCAAGAGTCCTTTTGCAGTTCTGTAATCTTACTGTTCCATTATAAAGTCCCAAGATCCTGTATTCCCTTTTTTGTCTTATGCATTGACCATATTCAAGATGACTATATTCAGGAAAATCCAGATCACATATTTGAAAATAAATGGTATCATTGTACTAAATATTTGCAGAAAGTTAACATAGCAAACCTTTTAATTATGAGACCAAACTCAAGTTTGGAGTCATCTCATTTAAATGGAAATGAAATACAAGACAAAGTAAAGTCACACTATGTGATTATTTTCAAATTTAGAAATTAGCCAAAGGAAAATGTGGCCCCTTCTACATTAAAGCACAGGGTCCTACCCTGTATTAATTTCATTCCATCCAGATTCCATTTCAGTATTCAGAGCCAAAAGCGTTGAATAGGTAGGATCAATTTGAGAAACAATACTTGGAAACTCAAGTCACATCTTTTCCTTGATTTCGTTACGCACGAGTGAAGACCCAAGTTGCATCGTGGAGACAAAAAGATAAAACCTTGAAGCTTGCTCTGAACCACAGTGTATGCATAGGCCATGTAGATTCGTTTTTTAGGCCACAGAAAAATATTCCCCAGAAAAATGTCCATTAGGTTTTGTTTATTTAGCAGATATTCTCTTATAAGTGAATTACTCTCTGCAGAGCTGGAGCCCTTTTATTTTTTCTTCAAAAGCGAATAATTCTGCTAAAGATGAAAAATAAAATCAAAAGACTTTTTGAAGACACAAGACTCTGGTCTGTTGTAATTGTTTTTTCTTTGTTGGGAAAATAATCAGTTTTCAGGGTGTAACACAAGTCAAACAAATAGAACATTTGTAAAGAGGTTAGAGGATTGAAGTGGTGTCCCTTTGAGAAGAAAAATTTCAGAGTATTTTCATGTGGAATGGTGAGTTGCATATATAAGTTCAAATTGTAATTTAAAACAACAAATAGTTCATGATGTACAAGAATTGTAGGTTATTAAAAGCCTTGTTAAATTGTTTCTCTTGAAAATTGAGAGAACAGGAACAGAAGCCAAAATATGGATGGCACCCTTCTCTAACCCAAACTCAGCCTCTAATTGCCTAATCTTAAAACACTGGTAGATCAGAGGTTGGTACGGGGTGCTTCCTCTCAGAATCTGTCCCCAGTTAAGAAAAGAAAGAACCCTTCACATCAAGAACGATTTCAGATCATAAGAATCAATTGAAGATTTTTCGTTTTTGAGTACTTTAAGAACTCAATGCCATCCAATGCTGCTAATCCCCTCCAAAACTCAGAGCCAAACCTTATCTTATTCATTCACAAGGAAAATGAAAGAAACCATGTCCTCAGTGTACCAATGCTTTCTTTATTCCCATGATCATCTAGTAATTGCTTGTTTGCTCACGGCAATCTACCAAAGTCACAAGATATCTATATTTTTCTTTTTAAAAACTGAAAGTATTTGGGGATATTTTATGACTGTGTAGTTCATAGGATTTAAGAAATGATGTTTCCTGTATTCTCTATCCCCAAAACCAAGTGTGTGTGTGTGTGTGTGTGTATGTATGTATGTATGTGTATGTGTGTGTGTGTGTATATATATATATATTTAAAGTCACTTGTTTCTACTTTGGATAATTTATATCCTTCTATGGACATGGATAGGCATTTGTCAAATGCATTGCTTTGTTAGCAACTCCTATGAATAAAATGAATAATTTACTTACATTTTGTGTTATATGCTGTGCTGAAAGCTGTTGAAACTTGTGAACTTCATATTGTTTTGAGGAGTACATTGACACTGATACACTGGAAGGTGAGATTTCCTGCCTGGGGCAGCAGCAGCACTCTGATTTCTGCCCAGCCTCACTCTTTCCCTGTCTGTTCCACACAGCCCCAAACTCCACCAGCCTCTGTGCTTCTTCTTCTGCCCCCATTGGAGGCTTCAGGGCCAGATAGTGCAAGGGGTAGACTAGGCTATTTGTTTGTCACTTGGTCACTATATGTGTAGACTTTTGTATCTTGTTTCAGAAAACAATTCCCTACTCTCCATTTAATCTGAATAAATGTAGAGCCATACATTTGCTTTCTCTGAAAACTCCTTATTAAAATAGGGGTGTTCCTTGAAACTTCAGTTTCTTTTCTTGTAGTTTGGTGGTCTGCTTCTGAAAAGCTCTATATTGCAAGAAAACTTTGTGTGGCCTTCTGCAAAACACTCAAATCATGTAGAGCTATAGCAGAAACTTCCAACTCTATTTTACTCACCTTTTTAGCTTTCATAACGTCTGATAATAACAGTACCTAGCGGATATAGTTTGGCTGTGTCCCCATCCAAATCTCATCTTGAATTGTAGTTCCCATAATCCCCACGTGTCATGGAGGGACCCGGTGGGAGGTTAATTTAATCATGGGTGTGGTTGTCCTCATGTTGTTCTCATGATAGTGAGTGAGTTCTCATGAAATCGCATTATGGTTTTATAAGGGGCATTTCCCCCTTTTGTTTGGTACTTCTCCTTGCTGCCGCCATATGAAGAAGGACATGTTTGCTTCGCCTTCCACTGTGATTGTAAGTTTCGTGAGGCCTCTCTGGTCTTGCTGAACTGTGAGTCAATTAAACTTCTTTCCTTTATAAATTACCCAGTCTTGGCTATGTCTTTATTAGCAGCCTGAGAACGGACTAATACACTAGCCCATTGTCACTTTTCTATAAATGCTTATTAAAATAATTTCCAAAAACTGCTTTTCTGTGTATAAAACAATGTTTGGGGATTTCCTTTGTTTATGATCAAAGAGAAATACCTAAACATATAAACATATATCTATGTAAAGCCATGGTCTACTATATCATGTAACATTCCCTT